ATTGTGTAGGCTAAATCCACAGGCTAGCTTAGTACTAGCAACACAAAATGGTTGCATCATCCTCTTGGAGTCCTTGGGACTCCATTGCATTACAGGGTTAAACAGGAATGTACAGGCAGCATTATTTTACTACTGGTAGGTACTTTTTGAAATGAAAGTCCCATTTAACCTGAGGTGGAAACCTACGTGTATACGTGAGAAGTATAACTCTTTTTGTTCCACAAGCCAGCATTGCACTAAAAACATGACCGTGAAATGGTCAAGCACTTCAGTAATATTTATACTTCCATTGGCTCTCGATTTCTGTGTTACGTTATTCGACCATCAACCTTTTTTATACAATATAACACATAATCAAAGCAGGGAGCTAAGCACCTTTTTTTTTTTCTTTCTTTCTTTCTTTCTTTCTTTCTTTCTTTCTTTTTTTTTTTTTAAACAAGCGTAGTCTTTGATCATTTTCCATTTGATCAAAGTGTGCTTTGATGTTTTTTTGAAGAAGTATGAAATTACTAGAATAAAAATATAGAATTTGATTCACAGTTTTACCTAAAGAAAATAAATGAAAGAGCTGGAATGGTAGTTTGTAGTAGGTAAGGCTGAAGTTGTACAAGTAAGTGGGGGAGAAAAAAAAACACAAACCCATAAATAAAAAGGAAGATAATGTAGTTTTAAAGAAAAGTAGAAACTGGGAAAGCAAGCTAAATATAAAACATATTTCTTCCAGTAAATGTGTCACTAACTGCCAATCAAAATGCAATAAATGTTCTTTTGGAAAGAAATGTATACTTGTGAACATCAAAGTGCAAAATATATTGCTGATCCATGCCTGAACATTTACCACAGTTGGAATAATTTCATTGTAAAGAATGCAAGAAAAAGAGGAAGAAAAGGCTAGGGGAAAACAAACAAACAAACAAACAAAAAACACCACACAACAAAGTATATTTTCAGCCTTCTGTGTTGCTTTTACAGTTGCATATTCAGTAAGATGTTTTGTTGTTGGGTGATAACTAGACTGGAACTTAGAACTGCTTTAGGTAATGTTCAAACTTTTTTTTTTGAAGTCATCAAAATGAATGCCTAGTATGTCTGTAATTTTGCATTGAACTCATAGTTTTCTGGCCTGGAATATGACCTTTGTTCATATTCAGTGATAAAAATTTCGTACGTCTTTAACATTCTGTTCTTTGTTTTGAGAGTTTTTTCCTTCTATGGTTCTGATGGCAGTGTTCTGGTTTCTTTGCAGGCCTAGTTTTCTATTGTCATAGATTTGATCTTAAAATGTTCCAGCTGATTCCTTTTATGGTTATGCTTTCTAAAGAGTGAAACTTGCTTTTTATTCTGTAGTTAAAAACAACAAAAAACACCACAACCAAACAAATCAAACAACCCCACCCCATGAACAAACAAAACAACAAAAACTGAAGCAGCCAAACTTCAGGAATATGAACTAAATAGAACAATCAATAGTAAGTGCAGAATAGTAGATTGACATCAAAAGAAGTACGACCAGAATGTCAAGAGAGGTGATTCTGACCCTCTACTCTGATCTCATGAGACCCCATCTGGAGTACTGTGTTCAGCTCTAGGGCACCCAACAGGACATAGACCTATCAGAATGAGTCCAGAGGAGGGCCATGAAGATGATCTAGGGGCTAGAACATTTTTCCTATGAAGGCAGGCTGAAGGAATTGTGGTTGTTCAGCCTGCAGAAGAGAAGGCTCCAGGGAGACCATATAGTGGTCTTCTAGTACCTAAAGGGGGCCTACAGGAAAGCTGGGGAGGGACTCTGTCAGGGAGTGTAGTGATCAGACAAAGAGTAATGGCTTTAAACTAAAATAAGGTAGCTTAAGATTAGATATTAGGAAGAAATTCTTTATTGTGAAGTGTGCTGAGGCACTAGAACAGATGGCCCAGAGAAGCTGTGGATGCCCCATCCCTGGAATTGTTCAAGACCAGGTTGGATTGGCCTTTGGGTGACCTGCTCTTGTGAAAGGTGTCCCTGCCCATGGCAGGGAGGTTGGAATTAGATGATCTTTAAGGTCCCTTCCAACCCAAACCATTCTATGATTCTATGACATAGCAGAAAAACAATACACAGAACAAATAATGCAATACTTTTATAGATAATATTTGTTACCTATTTCTGGGTACTATAGTGGCATATGATAACTACTTTTGCTAGTTTTTATTGGAAAACCATAAGTACAGATTTGTATATGAAAAGTTTTTGCAAGAAAACAGATCCACCTGACATTTCAAATGGCTAAAGAAAACTAGTAAAACTGGAGACCTTCTGCAATGAGATTTTACGTGAGAAATTATTGAGTATTTTATTTGAAATTAAAATCATAGGAAAACATAAACACAAAGATTTTAACTTGAAGGATAAATATAGTACCATATAAATGTACTCGGTATCAGTGGGGATTTTTAATGGTAATATGTTGGATATGCTTAGATTCTGGTGCAAATCCCATTGGAATTTTCTTCCAGTTACTTCAAAGGATTCAAGCTAGTTTATAAGCCTCTGGCTTACATCATACCTGCTCTGATAAAGGAAAAACTTAGTCTAGACAGATCCCTTCTTCAGGCTGAAGGCACAGATGAGAGAGATCCTGGACCTAGGGAACCTGCTGAAAGCCTGTAAGACAGGAATACCAAGTGTTTGCAAAACTAGTTGCTATACTTACAGATGTAGCAAGTAGTTTTCTTTACATGTTTTGTGAATGACAGATGTTTCCAAGGGATTCACACATCTATAAATGATTTATTGTGGTATTCTGGTCACTCTAATAAGGTAACAAGAATAACATGCATATTCCCCCATACATCTCCTAAATTGCTTTCATATATTTTTTTTTCTGTTACAGAAAAACTATGTAAGAATGGTCTCCGTATTCCTATTTCAAAACATTTTTTTCTGTTTAGAAACTCATTACTACTTATGTGAAAGAAATTTATTTTTTTGTGATGCAAAATTTGTAGTGCCTCAAGCTTGCAGTCAGATTACTATTCTTGCAGCTGTGTTTATAGAAAGCAACACTGATGCAATTGCTGTCAAGTTGAACCTAGACTTTTTTTTTTTCTGAAATTTATCTGCAAATGTGCCCACTACTTGCCTTTCCTACTGTGTTTGACATTATCATGGTGCCACATTCAAAAAGTTCCAGTTTCTTATTACTGTCCACTACAATTTATCAAGCACACTGAAATGAGAAGCATAAGACAGAAAGTTTTTGATGCCCTTGAGCTCGTGAAAAGTGAAATTCAGTCATCTGAAATTCAAACTGCAGTTGTAGCTGGATATTACAGTGTCATTTGGTTATTTTGTTTTTAAGCAGGGAATTATTTTGCATATATTTTGGTCGATGAGCACAGAAACCACATTAAGTCTGGAAAATGAAGAAATTCTGAATGAAGATAAACGTGTTTAATTCAGCACATTATATTTACCCTGACATAAGTATTGGTGGTGGTGAAAACTCCACAAAACCCATTCTATCTCTTGGTCTTTGGGTCTCTGAGCAATCACAGACTAATTCCTTGAAAGTGGGCTGGACACAGAAGCAGGACTTCCTGTGGTTAGTCATAGGAGCAAGTAAGTATGATCTTTGCCATTTAGCTTCACTGCTCTGTGTTCCTTTTGATGGTGGGTAGGGCATGTAAGAATGGATGAAGCTAACAACATTGAATGCTCTAAAATTGGTTGTATACATTCTGTGCTGAAAGAGAAAATGCATGTTTTTCAGCCCCTATGTTAATGAACTGTCTAGGGGCAACACACTAATTTATCATTAAGAAACATGAAGCTCCAGCAATAAGTAAAGCATTAAGCAATAAGTAAAGTGTTAGGACTCCAGGCATGATCAGGTAAGTGCTTCAGAGCCTGGTATGCTGATTTTAAAAGTTCAGCTGAGACACGTAATTGATTGTGTGATTCTGCTGCAGTGCAAAATTAAATGGGCTCACTAAAATGTCCTCCGTGTAAAAATAAATAAATAAATAAATAAATAAAAATAAAGTGCATTCCATATTTTGGAGATACAGGGGTCCCTTGCTTTATTTAAGGAAAAAGGTTGTGGCTTATCCTGTGCAAGTAGGTGTATGGGGTTTTATTTTTCTTCTGGGCAGGACACCTAAGAAAGACATTGCAGAGCATTTGATGACTGAGTTGTCGTTCCTTCCCTTTCACCTTAGTATATGGCTGAATGGAGAATTAACTCCAACAAACAAAGCTGATATAGAGAAACTAGAAAAGTAGAGCAAGAAACGGAGCAAGTTGAGAAAAAAAAAATGCAGGTTAATTTCCCCCTGGAGTGTAAAAAGATGTAGGGACATAACTGTGCCCTTACATAATTTTCTTCCTGCTCTGTTCCCATGGTATTACAGCTTTTTGCTCTCTTTCTACTGACTGCCAGAGAACTTTCAGTCTGACCCTACATTACTGAATCTCAGTAAGAGATTTATTCTTTATAACTGAAATCTGCACGCTTCCAACTGAAGTGTGTATCCATAAATGAATCACAATAAAATAAAAATAATTCAAACATTTTTAAGATGTGTATAATTAGAAGCTCAGAATGAGTATAATAAAATTGTGGGTCTCTTTAGTAAAGAAAACACCCAGATGGGATCACCGTCTACACTCCATATGGCACTCAATCCCTCTGCTCTGCATCTTGCTGTGCTCACAATGTAATCCATATGGACATTGCTTAATTGGTTTCTTATTCTGGCAACATTTACTATCTCTGTTCATATCTTCCCATCAAACATCTACTTATTGCTGAAAGAATGCGTTATTATATGTTGATTGTCTAGATTGTTAGAAATATAAAAGCATTAATTTCTTTCTGTATCTTTCAGTGCTGTGGCTTTGCCCGTTGCTGATGAGGCTGAGAATATTAGTGCACATCCAAGATGTGCAGTTTCAGCCAACTTGTGAGTGCTCATATGCATGACCTAAGCATAATTATGTGTGTTTTCTATTCAAACAGGGGGCTCCTAGGATGTGCAAGCAAAAAAACAGAGGGCCAGGAAGCTGTACGAAGGCCCTGGAGGTGCACCAAGTAGCTCTACATGAGTTTCTCCAGCTTTGAATGATGTGAAGATTTTAAGGGCAGCTCTGAGATTGCTTGTGTGACAACTGAAAATTCACAGATGAAAGAAATGAAGGACAAAAGTAAAGACAACTGTCACTTTGCTGAGGTTTCCAGTTTACAAGGTAAATTAGCATAGCCCATACACTGCAAGCTGAATGAGTGTGATCTGACTCTAACGGCAGGCTTGCAGTCACTAATCCCAAATCATACAAATTCCTGTTTAATGCTAACTACATCAATGTGTAAAAAACAAACAAAACAAACAAACAACAAAAAAACCCCACACCTATACAACTCATAAAATGTTGGCTCAGTGTGTATTAGTGATCCCAAACTAATATCCTTGTGTTCTTCAGAAATGGGGCAACTCTAACATATGCATTTTGCAGTTGTCTTGAGTGCTGTGTTTGGTTTTGATTATCCTGTCTCTAGAAAAAGTAATCCAGAGGATACAGTGCTGTATGATGAAATATCATAGGAATATGATGTACATGTATAATATGGAGATAATATATGATGATATGGAGGGAGATGGAAAAGTTAAAGATATGGAAAAAGAGGTGGGGAGAAATTACAGTAAAGACTATATGGTAGAGTTGTAAAAGGATAAAGGGAAGGAAAAGAATATTTTAATTTACCTTTCATTACACAGTAAAAGCTCTAGTTCAGTGATACAGAAGCAATCTGCTTAAAGCTACAGTAAACACTTTGTACACGTTGCAATTAACCCACGGAACTCTGTCATTCTGTCATTAAGTGTTTCTATCGTAAATAGATTTGTGGGGTTCAGAAAGGAATCAAATATTTATAGTAAGAGTGGAAACATTCAGAAATTTGTTAGACATATATTATTTATATCTATGGATAATTTATATTTATATATGAAAACATCTATCTATATCTTGTAGCTGTTTAACTAGCTGCTGGCCACTAAAACCTGTCCTGTCATATTTATACATTTTATATACATAAAATTTGTGTACAATTTATACATTTATGTTTATGCATTTATACATATATATTCCCTAACAAGAACAAACAACCACCCTGAGAGTTTTCTTGCATCTTTCTGAAGCTGTGCATAGTATTAGGGAGCATAAGGGAAGCCTTGGGACTGGTGACTCAGGAACTGAAAATTCATAAAATAGAGGCACGCAGAGAAAGAAAACAGCACCTTTTTTTTTTTTTTTTTGGTGGGGGGATGAGGGGGGAGGCATGCAGCATCTCTTCTATATAGCATAGCTTATAAAAAGGAAAATGTGTGATAAAATAGACCCTATTATATACTTCATTTTTATTACTGTCACGACACCTGATAAACTCCAGCTGTTGATTGTGTCTGTTTTGATGGCAAGCTATAACTGTTTCTTTTTATTCTCCTTGCCCTTCCCCTCTGACTCTAAGAGTAGTTTAAACAGTTTACCACTATAATCCATGTGACATTTTCTCACTATATTTGTTTTCAGGTATATTGTATTCACCTATAGATTTACTGTTGTAAATGTTTTTTTTCAGGCTCCAGACTTGTTTATACTGTACAAACTCCTGCATGTACCTTGGCAGCCTGCATGTATCAACATTGCTACTATATAAGAGAATCATAGAGCAAGTTAAGGTTGGCAGGGCTCTTTGGACATTGTCTCCTCTGAACTCCTGCTCAAAATAGGCTGAGAGAGAGCAGGTTGGTTAGGGCTGTGTCCAGTCAGGTTTTGAGTATCTCCAGGGACAGAGACTCTACAAACTCTCTAGGAAACTGGTGCAGGTGCTCAGTCACCCTCACAGTATTTTTTTTTTTCTTGTGTTTAAACAGAATTTTTCTGTATTTTAGTTTGTGCTCATTGCCTCTTATCATTTGGTTCCACGGAGAAAAGTCTGGCTCTGTCTTCTTTACTCCCCCCATCAGATATTTATATATACATTGAAGATCACCCTTGAGCAATTTCTCCTCCAGAATAATCAGTCACAGCTCTCTCAGCCTCTCCTCATATGACAGAAGCTCCAGTCTTTCAGTCATCTTTGCAGTCTTTTGCTGGGCCCACTCCAGTATGTCTGTCTTGTACTGTGGAGCCCAGACCTAGACACAGAGAGACATAGACACTCCAGAGGCATCTTGCTAGGATTGAGCAGAGGGGAAGGATCATATCCTGCGGCCTGCTGGCCTCCTAGCACAGTCCAAGAGGCTGTTGGCCTTCTGTGCCATGAGGGCACATGGGCCTGGGCCTTATGTTCCCCTTGTTGTCTGCCAGGACCCACAGGCTCTTTTTGACAAGGCTGCTTTCCAGCCTGTTAGCATGCAGCACGTACAGGTGCAAGGAGTTATTCCTCTGCAGGTGCAGAGGGGCAGGTCTTTGTTTTTCCCTTTGTTGTATTTCATGAGATTTCTCTGTTCCCCCTGACGGTTGGGGTGCAACACTGGTGTGTCTTGGATTGCTGGTGTGCTTTTGTGTTGTCTCATCAAAAATACTCTGGTTGTTCAAGTCCCTCGTGAGGACCTGAGCCTGCAAATGTGAGACTACTCCAAGTTGTCTGAAGAAGGTCTCACCTACTTTATCAGGCAGTCTGCAGCAGGCACACACACCATAACCCACTTTGGTCTGCCTTCTATTCCTGACCCACAAGTTGTCAGCTGCCTCATCATCCATCTCAGGGCAGATCTCTATGGATTCCTGCTTCTCTCACATAAAGGCTGACCCTCCCTTCTTGCTGTCCCATCCTGTCCATCCTAACGTGGAATCTGTATCTATCTACTGCAGCACTTCACTTGTGTGAATTATCCCACTCTGCCTCTGTGGTAAGTTCATACCCCTGCAACTGCACACTGACATCTAATTTCTCGTTTGCTCCCCATGCTGCACACCTTATTGTACAGTCACTTCAGAGAGACACCCAGCTGTGCTCATTTCCCAGAAAAGGTACAAGTGCCTTCCTCATGATACGTTCTTTTCTTGAAGGCACTCCCTTATTTCTGTGCTTACACTTGAAATGGACCTCTTTCAGCCCTGATTTCTTGATTATGAGGATACTCCAGTTCACATCACCCTTCAATATTTGTTTGCCAACATGGTTTGCTTGTGAGTTGTTGCCCCTCTCCCTTGTTCCAACTTTAAAGCTCACCTCTCTAATTTGCACAGCCTGTCAGCAAAAATAGTTTTGACCCACTTTTTAAGGGGGACCCTGTCCTTAGAATTCATCAATTTTTGAAGAGAGTCTCAGAGTAAAATAAATAATCCTTATTTCCAACACCTGCTACTCAACTGGTTGTTGGTCTCACAACATCTGTGGGTCACCAGCAGGCTGAGGAGAAAACTCTCTGTGTCTCATGCTCTTGATTGTCACCCCCAGCGCCACATAGTATAGTCACACTTGATATGCTTCAGGTTTTTTTCTGGCATGTGAAGAGCAGCAGAGATAACTGTCCAACGCTCAAGCCTCATCAGTCTTTTTGCAATGTTTGAGCCCCTGCAAGGGGCTGCTGGGGATTGTGACCTGCAGTGTGTCACCACCACTGCTGAGCAATACATATAATGTCCTCAGCAGAGTTTCAGGTCATCCCCTGCCACACCACCTCCCGTGTGCCCTTCTGCATGAATTGATGCCTCTATTAGCTGCCTCCGTTATATGCAACATTATATGCAATAATCCACCACTAGACTAAATGAATTGCAAGTCTGAGATAGCAAGTTCCTGGATATTATCTTTGTAATTCTGCAAAAGTATTTTTCCTCTCCTTGATTACAGTGTCAGAATAATTTTTTATTGTTGCACAGCAGGGAACTGTATTGTTTATTCAGTAATAAGTTAGGTCTGGAGAAAGAAAAGAGTGAGGGCAGGAATGGGTATGATGATCTTAAATATAAGCAGAATATCTGACTTGCAAGAACCTGATCATACCCAAAAGCATGTATTAACCCGTTTCATACTCAGGGAGGTGTGGCAGAGAACAATCAAAAAGGGGACCACAAAACCAAATACAATTCTTAAAGCTTTTTTTTTTTTTTTTTTTTTTTAACTTTTCCTAGAGATCTCACTTCCAAGTGGAGAAGAGAGAATAGCCTTTAAAATGGCATTTTGCCACAGGCACTAGGGAGCATTTATACTCACTTATTTTCATGAGTAATGCTACAATTTGTTATTGTAGCAGACCCTTCTGTCATTGTTCTCTACACTTGTATTTTTAGCATCTGAATAATAAGTAGTATATAAACATAATAATGTATGAATAGCTGAATAGCTACCAAATGAGAAATCTTTCCAAAACCAACCAACCAAACAAACAAAAGAGCCACCTCGTTATCACTGAGGAATAGGGAGCTACCTTTTGATTTTCAGGTATGCTTAGGCTCTTTTATTTGAGTTAAGTCTTCTTTATTCTGGTTAATGCATCATGGTTCCAGATGTCTTTGAAGTAGAATTTAGACATTGGTCTTAATGAAAGCACTGTTGGACCCTGAGTTTTTCAAATATTCTGGAAAAACTCACTCCTCACCATAAATGCCCAAGCAGATGTTTTGGACAACATTTTTATACCTTGGGTAATTTACTGAGCTTGCAGTAAAATCAGTAGATGATAGCAAGTCTAGTATTTGGTATTTGGTGCAATATAGCTCTTGCCAGTACAGTTTGATAGGTTCTATATTTATGCCTCTGACAAAGTAATGAAAAGTAAGATATGAAACTGCACTGTTTTCTTTTTTTCTTTTATTTTTTCCTCACAGATTTTCAGAGCACCAAAACTTTTCACTGATTACTTCATTGTTTTTTTTTGTTTGTTTGTTTTTGTTTTTTTTTTTTTTTTTTTTTTTTTTAAAAAAAAAAAAGACTTCAGACAACAGGAAGGATAAATAGTGTTGAAGCCCGTGTGTCCAGTATTCATGACAAATACTGAAAAATTTATGCGGAAGCACTGTGTGTATCGCAATTTCACTTTATCATCTCTTGTACATGCAAAGGGAATGCCTTGTTGCTTAAGGCACACTATACTGGTGCTTTTTCTTTTTCATTGCAAAAGTCTAAATATAGTACAAATGTTAACAGGTCACAATTCCAGTACACACTGCGGTTAGACACATAATTATGCATATAGAATGGATTGAATGAATAGGTCAGAAATTAATCTGAGATG